GTGTGTGTGTGTGTGTGAGACGAGTCTCTACCTTTCGGCCCTTTCCCTGGTGCTGGTTCAGCGGTGCTGCGGGTCCATATCAGCATGATTCCTCCTGAGTCTCCGGTCAGGATGTCTCCATTATTGAGGAAGGCCAAACACTGAACAAATTTGGGCTTCTCGTATTTCTGTCATAGACACAAATACAAAAGTAATACACATAAGGTCAGGTTTTATAAATTCTATGTACTATGTACTAGTCTGTGCTTTGTATATCAAGCTGACTGCAGCATTAGTCTATAAATGTTTCTTGGGCTGGGATATGTTGCTAAAATAAAATTGATCTTATATTTTTCTTCCTTTTCACTCTATTTCATACATAGCTCAATATTTACTGTGTTTTCTCTGACTGAAATAGTGATTTTTGTCCCCCAATAAGTGAACATCTAGTTATAATAATCATGTTATGTTTTTTAACATTGTTATTAACTAAATGATCACAAATATATGAAACAATATAACAAAGTGCATAGTAAAAAGCAGCAATATTTACCTACAGTACAACTATTTTTACTAAAACTTTTCAATATAAAAAAAAAATGCATCATGGATACTTCCATGGACATTATGCTAAATAATCACTGATTCAGAGTTCTGAATCGATTTGTTTATTTCAAACTTTTATGCTGTTTTTGAAATTGTTTAAAGATTAAAATCATCTGTAACACTCTTATACTCATGAGTTGCAAGACCAAGAGGGATCTTGAAACTAGTGTAATGACTCAGTCTCTGGGAAACTCAACTGTTAAATAAAAAGCACAAAAAAGGAATAGTTCATCCAAAACGTCAAAATCACAATAATCCATAAGAAATCCATCAAGACAATTTTAACTTCAAACTGTCGTCTAAAATACAAGTCTTCTATCCAGTGAAAAATTCATAATGTGAGAGGACAACAAGGGATGGATTTTTCACTGGAGGAAGCGTTATTATGGATTCATATTTTGGCCTGAATTGTAAAGTTAAAATGCTTTAATGATGGGTTTATTTCTTAAAAACAGGCATTTTTTTCATGAGCTGTTAATTGATGGACCAGAATCAGATTACTTATTGTGATGTTTTTATCAGCTGTTCGCACTCTCATTCTGACGGCACCCATTCACTGCAGAGGATCCACTGGTGAGCAAGTGATGGAATGCTGCTTTTCTTCAACATTTTGGGTGAACTACTCCTTTAAAATCCCCATGAGAAATATAAGTGTGTGTGTCCTTACGCCAAAGATGCCTTGTTTGCGGGCGAGTGAGGAACCGCTCCAGGTCCAGAAGAAGATATGGGATTTCCCACAAGTAACAATGGTGTTGGCGTCAGTCGGGTGAAACTCCACTGCTAAGACCACTTCATTGGTTGTCTAATAAAACAGCACATTGGCAAAATCATTACATGAAGAACAAAGAGATGAGAGGAGGCAAAACAGGAATGTGCAGGGAAACAGGGCAAAAAGGTACAAATGGAACAGACGTGGCAAAACATAAAAAGACGAGAAGGAAGACAACAATCTGAAACAAGATGAAAAGGACTGAGAAGAATGGAGGAGGAGGAAATAAGATAAGGGCTAAGAAATCTAAAAGAAAGGAACAAAGGAAGGGAGTGGTGATATGTGAGACAAGAGAACGAAATGAATAAAAGAAGTGTGACCCTAACCTTAATCTCAGCGATTTTTGATTTCTTCTGCCAGTCCCACACAGTGAGCATGTGCTCATTAGAGTCATCAATCACACTGAGATGAATGCCTGAGTCCTACACACACATACACACAACAGATTGAGCATTACAATGCCATACTGTAACATTTTAGATTAAATTACTGTTTACAAACAAATACTCAATCACAAAGCTTCCGGTTTCTTCAGTCACCTCAGAAAAGAGCTGTTTATATTAGGACTTTATTCAAACGTAGTCATTGAGAATGACCAAAAAGTTTGATGTTGAAACAACCAGGTTCATAAAAACGTGGTTTTCCACCATTCGTAAGGTGAAAAACTCTTGTATTATCCATTGATCACCAGAAAAACTGTCACAAAAATCCTAACTTCCTCTGAGCCAAGTTACAAATATTACAAAATATTATCAACAGCCAATTATTAATAAATATTACAAATATTACAAACATGATCAATTCTCAGTTGTTTTGCACATATATGATATTATTTGTGACCCTGGACCACAAAACCTTCCAGTTTTAAGTCGCTGGGGTATATTTGTACCAATAGCCAAAAATACATTGTATGGGTCAAAATTATAGATTTTTCTTTTATGCCAAAAATCATTAGGATGTTAAGTAAAGATCATGTTCCATGAAGATATTTAGTAAATTGCCTTCTGTATATTTATCAAAACTTAATTTTTGATTAGTAATATGCATTGCTAAGGACTTCATTTGGACAACTTTAAAGGCGATTTTCTCAATATTTTGATTTTTTTGCACCCTCAGATTCCAGATTTTCAAATATTTTTCAAGTTGTATCTCGGCCAAATATTGTCCTATCATAACAAATCATACATCAATGGAAAGCATTTCCATTTATTTCCTTATTTATTCAGCATTCAAAAAAATTAGAAACAATTAGAAAAAATTGACCCTTATGACTGGTTTTGTGGTCCAGGGTCACATTTTATGTAAATATAAGACTAAAACCCATACGTGGGCATATGCGCTCATATCTTGAATTGTAGGGGCGTATAACTGCATTCTCGTAGGCTACGTCCTGCATGATGTTCATCAGCAACTGTATGAAATGTAAGATGACGTTCAGGTCTACGTGGGCCAGGGTGCCTTAAATGAGTAAATTTTAATGCATTATCTTTTTCCATAATTTAACACACCAAATGAACGTGTTAAATCGACAGCATAGTAATAGCACATGGAAAGCATTTCCATTTATTTCCTTATTTATTCAGCATTCAAAAAAATTAGAAACAATTAGAAAAAATTGACCCTTATGACTGGTTTTGTGGTCCAGGGTCACATTTTATGGCAAATTCTGATTTCAAGATTAGAATTATTGACAAAAGAAAATGCAAACATGACCCAGATCCAGGAAGAGCACAGTGTAAGACTGTGAAAAATATTAGAATAATTGAAAACAACAACAAAAAAACACCAGGTTTATCAATTATCAAAACAGCTGTTAGGCAATGTTAATTAAACACGTAATGAAATGAAATCAAATTAGATGGCTGACGTTAGACTCACGGCTTTAGAGAAAGCGAGGGATCCAACTCCTCTCTCAAAGGTGCCGAGGCCGATGATCTGCAGCGTGGACAGACTGACGGAGTCCCACACTCTCACGTGAGGCTGAAGCGGCTGCAGGATCAAACACACACCAGAATACAGAGACGTCAAATATCACAGCAGGGATTCAGGAGTCAAACATCCAAAAGAGCTTATTCTGATAACCTGGAAAAGAACAACTTAGTAACACAGAAAAATAAAACTTCTGTAAAGTGTTTTTACAGTGTTTAAAGGTTTATGTTCTTTAGGGATCCTCTGAATACTTGCCAGCTAAATGTGTTTGTTTTTGCACGTTCAAGACATACTGTTTGTTGGCTAAAGCCAGTTATTCTAAACCTGTTCTCCTGTTTTGCATAACTAAAGCCAAATATTTTATTTATTTATTTTGTGAAAATGAAGTGCAGTAGTTGAACAGGGCCATGGAAAGAAAAAAATGTGCAATGACTAAATGTTATGAAAAAAATATATATACTGACAGGACAAAATAAAGTGAGAGAAATACTACACGATACAACTACAATTGTATTACTACAACTACACTGTTTTGAAAGAAATTGAGGTTGGTATGATTTTTTTATGTTTTTGAAAGAACTCTCTCATGCTCATCAAGGCTGCATTTATTTGATCAAATATACAGTAAAACAGTATATACAGTATCATTGTGAAATATTGTTATATATCTATTTCAATATATTTTCATGTTTTTTTTATGAAAACCATGATGCAGTTTTTTTTTTCAGGATACTTTGATAACTAGAAGGTTCAAAAGAACAGCATTTATTTGAAATATACAGTGGGTACGGAAAGTATTCAGACCCCCTTAAATTTTTCACTCTTTGTTATATTGCAGCCATTTGCTAAAATCATTTAAGTTAATTTTTTTCCTCATTAATGTACACACAGTATATATATATATATATATATATATATATATATTGTAACAATATAAAAGCCTTTCCTATCACCTTTGCTCAATTTAATGAATCCTTACTAAATAAAAGTATTAATTTCTTTAAAAAAATCTATCCCATACTTTTACACGGTAGTGTACATTAAGGCAAACATAGGTTTGTGCTTTATCATAGTAGTTGCAGTGATAAAACTCACCCTGCCATCTTTATCCACGCCTGCTATCTGTCCTGTGGCGATACGGATCTTATCTGGATGAACAGCAAGACTACAAGAGAAACAGACAGAGAAAGCTGAACATTCACTGATCAACACTGCTGAAGTCCTCCTGAGGTGGATATGGCTTTCGTTTGTGATCACTAATATGTCATCCAGTAAATATACATGCTCTGCCTACCAAACTGTTGTTTAGAGATCAACCAATAAGGATTTTCACTGGCTTGTCTGTCCATATGCTGATATCTAGAGACCAGTATGAATTCCATTATATAAATATTTTACACAGTATTTAAAAGTCTACAGGAACAGGTATGTCCAGCATCATCACTGCTAGCAATGCTAGCAATTACAAAGCCTCAGGAAGACCAAACTAAACGTGAATTCACAATGACAGCCGTTCACAAAGGAAAAACGGCAACATCTTTCAATGACATTTTCAGTGAGTTGGTTATTTAATCACTGTCAGTGTCAATGTCCCATATGACGAATGATAAGACCAATAAATAACTGCATGCCCCCAATAACACGATATGTGTTTTCATCAATCTCACCATTTGACACAGTCAGTGTGGCCTAAATAGTGCCGCTGTGTCCTCTCCTCATAGTTGAAGAGCACAACCACCGAGGCGATGAAATACACAATCTCCCCGGTAGGTAGCAAGTACACATTTGCACGGCAGTCACGTCCCCTGTAGCCATATCTATCAAGGAGTCAAGGGAAAACAACAGTATACCAAAACCAAAAAAAATATATGTAATATATATTCAACGCTTTACATAAACCATGATAATGTTGTAATGCTTAATTCACAGAATCTCAGCAAGTAAATTAAATTGAATTGGCCATTAATTAAATTTTGACAACCTTAGTTAATATTTTATTATTTTCTTGCCATAAAAGTTTTAATCCATTGTAAAACCACCATTGTAAAATACAATACATGCAAAGCATGCTAGAAAGGATACACCCACTCCAGTTTGAGTCTCTCTGGGGGAAGTTCGGTGCGGACATCGTCGTAATTCTCCACGTCCGATGGGATAAACATTGTGATGGGTCGTCCTCGCATGAACATTTTAATATATTCTCCCTCTGTGGAGAGATTTGATGAAGGAAATATATTCTAAGAAAATACTAGAAAAAAAATAGTAATTACTGCCAATGAAACGTATATATCTCAAACAAAACCCATCTTTGTTTGTGTGAAATATATCATGAAGTTATCTGAAATTTGGTAGTGAACATGGTCTTTCAGAACAGACTGTGTGAGTTTGTTCATTTTAGCAACATTTAACAAACACATAGCATATATTTTAGCTTCTAGCATTGCTCCTTCTTACTTAAAAGAGTTAGTTTTTAAATACTATACATTTCTAAAACGTTTCTAAATGAAGCTCTTCGATGGAGTTACTAAAGCTCATGCTTTGAACCCATTCATAAACCCAAGCAAATCAAAAGTGAAGCTCTAAGCGGCGTGCAGAAGGGCCAGAGCAATGACAATGCCCAAATCTAACTGTGATTCAATAAAGAAAAGAAAAGTGTAAAGAAGAAACCTAAAGGTGGTGAAAAAAAAATGGGCAGAGACAGAGTGAGGCAGAAAAAATTAAATATTTTCTCTGATCTCCAGAATCATTTTGTGCAGTAGCACATTTTATAATAGCATCGTATAATTCTATAAAGTATTTAACACTGACCGCAGGTAACCTTTAAAAACAATTTAGCTGGTCGAGAATCACCAGAACATTCCTCACTGATACCAATATCCTTAAAGGGATAGTTCAGCCAAAAATGAAAATTCTGTCATCATTTACTCATGCTCATGTTGTTCCAAACCTGAAAAAATGTGAGAAATGTCTGCGTGTGTGTGTGTGTGTGTGTTTTTTATTTTTTTTTATAATAATACAATATTTATGTTTCTCAGCAGAAAGTAAGTCATCAGGTTGGGGATGAAATGAGGGTAAGTAAATGATGACCGAATTTTCATTTTTGGCTGAACTATCCCAGCAATATGCTTACTGAATTAATTAAGGTATAAAGGTGAATCTTAACTTGTCCAGGCCAGTACGAATTATATTATATTGTATTTTTTTTTTTTTTTAGGAATGATAAATAATATACATTTTTTATGAATTATTTTTTTGTGTGTGGAAAAAAACAAAACAAAACAATATTTTAGGACCATTAAGATCTTTTGCATTTTGTGATTATTTCAATTAAAATTAAGTACATTTTTTATATAAATCCCCCCACATACTCTATAGTAATGAGAATGAGACTATTTAGCATTATCGTAAAAAAAAAAAAAAGCTTAGCTGTCATAAAAATAATGTTACAATGGATAGTCAATAAATATGAATTTCAAAATGCACTTTCTTGTTTCTTTCTTTCTTTGATTTTGCAGTGAAATATGAGCTAGATATGTTCATGACGGGTTTTAGTGAGATTTAGCCATAAAGCTGTTCTGGTTTTTTTACTTCAGGACAAACACATTCCTCTGCTAATGAGTTACTGGTGGTGAATCTACAGTAAGTCATCTATTTACACCATCTGAATTGCGAGAAGAAATGAACAAGCGAGATGCGTGTTCATCGACATGCCTGTAAGCTGGGAGGAAATCCACTTACTGTTGATTCCTCCAGAAATGTAATTAAGATTTTAAGGAGCAAGAGCGGCACAGAGAAAGAGAGATACAGAAGAAAAGTGGAAGAAGTGACTGACCATTGATCTTTCAGATAGATCGATCAACATGTTAAGAGAATTAAAGTGGGATTAGTGCCAGAAACACTTATATCCAGCCTGAAGCGGGCAAGGGAGGGGTAAAAAACGCTTTCGGCGGCTTTCGGCCCTGTAGAGAGGAAGGCCTTACCTTGACTGTTTTTTTCACGGGTTGACATTTTAGCTGGGTACGGGACAGAAATAATAATTTCTCAAAAAACAAACACAGACTGACAGACAAGGAACAGTTTTATTGATGTATGGTAAGAGAGGCCTGTCAACAGTTTTTAAGATGGGTGTGATCATTAGAAAAGTCTGAAAGAACAAATAAGGAACCACAAGACACAGGAATGCAGTTTGTGTGTGTCTTTGCCAAGATTAAAATGACTTGAGAGATGGAGGTGGTGCTCACACCTGTTCTGTTCTCGGCCCAGGGCTAAATCCAGATTCGGGATAAGGTTGTTCCAGGGCACACTCAGCCTGTGACCACCGGCATGAGACCCCGTGCTAACAGTATTTTTCAGTGTCACCTCTAATCTTGCCCTGAGGCAAAGCCAAGCGGCAATATGCTAGCTTTTAAATACACCTATGAAATGCAAGTTGGCTACAGGGCACAGCTTAAATGTTTTTACAAATGAGAACTTGTATTTATCTAAAGTGCACAGAAGGTCTGACATATTGCACGAGGCACCAGTTTGCTTGAACCACTGATACAGGAAATGAGAAGAGCACATGAGAAAAAGATGAAGTTGAAACAATAGATCACGTAAAGGCAAAATGAGACTTTACCTTGGCTGATGACTGGATCTCTGTTTCTGAAGAGAAAATGGGAAGAAAATCAAATACTGTTAACACGAGACAAATAGCGAGTTCCAAAAACGGCATGTTTGTTCAACTACAGGAATGTCTTAAAGGAACAGTTCCAAAATGAAAATTCATTTTATTGTCATCATTTGCTCACTCTCATGATGTTTCCAAATCATATGACTTTCTTTTTTCCACAGAACACAAAAAAAGAATCTCTGAATTCTGAATTTACAATAAGCTCCTTAATATTATATTAACACACACACACATACATATATATATATACAGTATATAAACAATACCTTTGTTGCAGTATTTATTAAGCTTTGTTAATGATAGTTAATTAAAATACAATTAATCATTTTTATCATTCATTTATTCATTAATCATTGTTATCTCGTTAGTCCATGAAATAATGTTTACATATACAACTTTTGATTTTAATAATTTATTAGTAAATGCTGAAATAAACATTAACTAAGAATAATAAATGGTTTAGAAGTACATTTTATTGTTCAGTATATAAACAATACCTTTGTTGCAGTATTTATTAAGCTTTGTTAACGATAGTTAATTAAAATACAATTAATCATTTTTATCATTCATTTATTCATTAATCATTGTTATCTCGTTAGTCCATGAAATAATGTTTACATATACAACTTTTGATTTTAATAATTTATTAGTAAATGCTGAAATAAACATTAACTAAGAATAATAAATGGTTTAGAAGTACATTTTATTGTTAGTTCATGTTAACTAATGCAGTTAACGGATGTTAATAAATGTAACTTTATTGTGAAGTGTTACCAAAATCACATAAAAGCACCACGGATGCACCATATCATAAGTTTTGTGTTATGGCGAGAGGGATATTTTAAGTGAATGACCACACAAATTTCAGACATTATTGTCGGAAGACTTGGAATATATAGCGCACAATCCCCTTTCATTGTTCATAATTTTTCATTTTCAGATTTGAGGAAAAAAAGAAAGTCATACAGGTTTACAACATCATGAGGGTGCATGAAGAATTTTAAAGCAAAAGCAAGTGCCATAGATAAATTAGATTATTTTTAATAACTCATGGCTAGGCCAGGATGGCATCTGTGGACTTTTTTTGCATGTTATATGTTGAAATTGAATTAATTTTGTTGATTGAATTTAAACTAATACAAAAGTGCTGAACAGCAAGTACCAAACTAAATATTGGTAGCTAAAAGCATATTCATATTACCAAAATTAAATGGAACATGGAATGCATTAAGTTTTGGTGTAACTTCATAAATGAGGGGCTTTCCAATTCTGTGGACTTTCATGGAATTATTTTTCAAAGTCAAGAAAAATGACTTAAAGTGCCCCTATTATGCCATTTCCAATATTGCCTTTCATGCAGTGTGTAATGTAGCTGTATGTGAATGTAAACGATCTGCAAAGTTGTAAAGCTTTAAAAGTGCACGAAAAATAAAGTTATTGTCTCCCAGCATAAAGAATCAACTCTGAACAGCTGAAACAAGTCGTTAATTCGCATCCCACATTTGCATAATGCGCGCCTATGTTCTACGTTGGCCGGCCGCGAACAACTTGACCCCGCCCACAAACACGTCATTCTACTGACGACTGCTTCTCTAATCTTGGGGGGTTCAATAATGCGGGATTCACAAAATGCTTGCTGTTGAAAGATGGATCAGTATCCTGTTTAGTTGGACCAGCTGCTCCACTGAATCACAACCTGTAAGTATGATAAATAATAGATGTTTATATTTTCTATAGAGCGTTCAAAATACAGAACCATTGAAATAGGCGTATCATTTCCGAAACGCGCTGTACGCTGTAGACCAATCACAACAGACTAGGCCATCTGACCAATCAGAGCAGAGCAGGCTCACGGAAAGGAGGGGTTTAGAGAGACTGAATCTTTGAACTGCTTCGAACGAATCGTTTGAGAATCGCTGGAAAATGAGGTGATATTAAATGCATATTTTGAGAAAACGAAAGCGTTTTTTGACCTTGCATGCATGTAATCCTATTGTAGGAGACTCCCAAAACAATATTAGGAACCGTAAAAATGGCATAATAGGGGCACTTTAAAAAAGCCTGAAGCATTGTTTCAAAAACACTTGAAAATCAGATTTTTTTTTGTGCCTCTACTACCTCAGTTGGATGACTTGTATGAGGACTCAAATCTACAGCGTGAGTCTTAGTAGGGCAAAGGGGACGGAAGGAACCTAACACTTACTTCTCTGCATTCTTCACCACTTTGGACAGCAGTTTGGAGGTGGAGGCTGCTTTCACCAGCTTATTCCTGTTCTCCTCTCCGCTGTCCCACGTGCTACTCTGAGAACGCTCCATTCCTCCACGCTTCGCACTGCTACCCCTGCTGCAGACGCAAAATACACAGGAAAAGCATGTAAGGGTTTCGCTGGAAAAGAAAGCGATAGCAGAGAAGCTCAAAGACGAGTCCAGGGGAGAAGGTAAAAATTTAGAGGAACGATATTGTAAGCTTGGAGGAGAACAATCCATTAAATCTAAATAGATCTATATAGATCTATATAGACCCACCAAAATGGGTCACATGTTCGTTCAGACAATTTTACTTAAGATGGAGTGCAAAGTCTAGATGCTAACTCTATCCAGGTCCTCCAAACTCAAATAACCACTCCTCTTCTTTGGTTAATTTCAAACTGGAAGCCAGAAAACAAGCAACGCCTCTTGAAAGTCAAAGATGCATCCCTCAGGTAAAATATCATGCATATGCCAAAGCACAATCCGCTCGATGGTTAGTACACACAGGGGAGCTGAAAAACTTGAAACCCAGTCCTGTGGTAAATTGCATGAGATTGTTCGGGAAAAAGACGCCTCACAGCATAGCTAAAGGAAGGTAGAGAAGGAAACACATCAGAGGTTTAGAAAGGGAAAACAGAGGAGTGTTATCCTCACGCGAAGCTGTGTGCAAGAAGAAAACGTTAAGAGTGTAAAAACAAACTTGTTTTCTGGACCAAAACTTCTACACTAATACTCACCAACCCAATTTCCAATTTATTCGCTATGGTAGCTGAACCAGAAGCTCATTTTGACAGAAAAGTGGGAGGTGCAACAAAAATGCTGGGAGAATCTGAACTTTAAGCAAATTATTGCCAAAAAATTAATAATTAACGATGGCTCATCTTGGGGCTTGAACCAACAAACTTCTGGTCACCAGCCCTAAATTTATAGCCATATAGCCATTTACACCATATCTCTCAACCTTAGCGGAGAATATGAAGGTCAAGGCAGGGGAGCATGGGGGAAAATTTGGTAGAAGTGATCCAGAAACTCACAGATGTACACACAAACATTAAAGCCAAAAGTATACTTCGGTTTTTAGATATAATTCTCTATACACATGTACTCGCTCCTTGAATGCACCTTGAAGTTGCGCACAAATTAATTTGCCCACAAGTTGGTTCGGACGTTGTTTCACAGTTGAAAATGAAACTGAGGAGACGGCACAACAACAAACTTGTCAAGAGTGCACCAACAATAGACATCCATGTTACAAGCGCTTGTGTGAGGGAGTTAAGAGATACTCGCAATTCTAGTTTAAACGAGTACGAAGGCATTTTTATCAGTCATAACTTCTACAGAGAAATATCGCAGACACTGGACAAGGACGAAACTTTCTAGAGTGCAAGTGTCGAACGTCTGTGTTTAAACGGTGTATACTTTGAAAGGCTGTGCATTCGGCTGTACGCATATGCTAAGAGTTCAAGTTAGAACTGAAGTATACTTTGGGTTTAAGGCCATTAAACAGGTCAGAGCTGTAGCAAAGTACCTCCAACCTCACCAAACATGGGAGTAAAAGAGGAGGGAAGAGAAGGGAATGGATAGTACTCAAGGGCAGAGCGGACACACTTCCACATGTGAAAAACTGGCTTGAGTTCTACATATAGGGCCACCTGTGAGGTATACAGGTCTAACGATGTCGATCCCTAGTATATGTGTGATAAAAGTTGTGTGAGTGCTCCACATGACTGTATTGTAATATACCATCTATCAAAAAATGACCATGTAATACCATGGTACTATCTTATTTGGTCTGCTAGCTACACCAGTTGAGTTTTGTTGGTTAACTGCATTACTAGCAGAAACCTAGACCAGCATTAACATCTATGCTAGTTTGTCGTCTTATAAGTAAAAACACCACGTAAAATTTATCCATCCTGCATTTACTGCATTTTTTTATTTATTTCTAAGAGTTCTTCTTTTCCAAGAAAATAAAGACATAACCATCACATAACCATCACTATATTGCCATCTGTACAATCTCGGCAAGATTTCTAGAACACATTGTGCTAACCACAACAATCACAAATTTAGCATCGCTGATGCTAATTAGCTATAAGAAAGCTCAAGTCTTTGCTAGTGTGAGTGGAATACTCATTGATTGCAGAGGCTTTTTAAAGTAATGTGACTGTGGCAAAATCCAGGCTAATAATCTTCTTGCTGCATCATCTAACAAGCATGGATCGGGCCGTGAAATGACATTACGGAGACAGCTAATTGGTTTTCCACTTCTCTTTAGCTAATTGGATGGGACAGCTTGCAGAGTCAATATGAATAACTCAGCAGGCGGGCTCTTGGGTTATTAAGTACAGACTAGAAGGTTTGCTAATGGTGTTGAAGCATGGCTGGTCTAATGTGTTAGCCTGATTACTCTGCGGATTATTAAGCAAGAACCAAGGGTTTGAGCACTGAGAGGACATCACATCTGCTTTCCATTACTTTCCACTTCTGGGTGGACTGCTCAGAGTGATCCAGAGCATAACACATTATGACCTATACTGTCAGCCTTATGCTAGCAGGACATTTAGCATAGAATGAGGGACAAGCAATGATAAATGATGAGAAAGCAATAATTTATTTAGATAAAATTAATTTAAGAGCCTGGAAATGAGGTTTTTATAATGAGCATTGATGGAAGTTGTGCGTAAGATAAAAAAAAAAAAGAAAGAAAGAAAGAAAGAAACACTTTTATTCAGGAAGTATTAAATTGATCATAAGTAAATGATGGAAGTAAAAAGTTAAAATACTTTTACCAACAACAACAACAAAACTTTTCCTATATATATATATATATATATATATTAGGGCTGTCAAAAAAAAATCGAATTTCATAGATGTGGCACTGCTGAGTTGTTCATTAAAAACATTGCGGAAAAGGAGAACATCAATGCGGAGAAGATGTTGTTTACATCAAAACTGAAACCAAGCCATTCACACAGAACACATAAAGTTTAACTTTGAAAAAAACATATCTCGAGACTTTATGACGGGGTTTTTTCCCCATCCCACTGCAACTGGTTTTTAAATGAGAAACGCACTCTGTGTGATTGGCTTTCTGCCCTTTGTATTAAACTATGCATACATACATACATGATGCTGTTTTGTTTATAGTTGTTTAAGCAACTTAATTAATTATAATTGGTTTATAAACATTATTTTAAACATTATGCACTTTTTTCACAGATAGTCTTTTTATCTTATGCTTTGAATAAACGTGCATTAGTAATATTCTGCTCGATGTGCCCTCTTGTGGCCTCAGAAGAGAAGCCAAAAGCTTTTCTTCACCCTAACTGAAATTATGCATTTTAAATTCGAATATAATTCGAATTTTGATAATATTTAAGTACAAAATTCGAATTTAGTTTTTCAGCCATTTTGACAGCCCTAATATATATATATATATGCATAAGATACCTTTTTAAAAATACATTAAATAATAATAATTATTCTTAATAACAATTTTAATACTGATCCCAACTTTTTTAACGATAGTGTTTATATTTTAAAATACATTTATATATTTTATATTGTTTTTATACCTTTATATTGTTTTTATACTTTTTCAAACTTATCAATGAGAAGAAGTGAACCATTTTATTAATTACTTTGTAATGTACCTTTGTTTTTGATCTTATAACAACATTTCCAATGCTTCATGGGATGAGTATTACATTTACTTTAAAGAACTGTATTTTCCTTCTTCAAATGAAATGTTTTAATGTTGTGACTCATCTTGGATTTGGTTGGTTTGGTCCAAGACATTTAGTTAATTTTTCAAAATCCCTATGGAGAAAATGAATGGGAAAAATACTTCCGGAACCAAGGCAGATAAAAAGTGGACTGTTGTGAATAAAAAACTGCTGTGCTCTATTGATCTTGATATTGATTGAGGAAGCATGTCAGCCCTGCCCCTTGGCTTTACGTCAATAGGTTGCGAAAGCGCTGCAAGCAGATTGCCAAATGTTGCTCGAACACTGCCAGAAATTGCATGGCTGTTGGGTGGAACCTTTTGGCCAGGGTTGACCCCTTGTTCTCCGAGAGCTGTCTTTGGGGCTGTGGGGGATGAGGGGAGGGGGGGTTGCTGGAAGGGGACGGTGCCTGAGGGGTGCTGGGTGCTGAGGGGGTTTTATCGTTAGCTTGTGGAGGCTCTTCTTTCTCCTTGATCCCCTCCATCGGAGGCTTGTCTTTTTTACGCTCGCCACCACTGCAAAAACAACATGCAGGTCAACAGAGGAAGATCTGATACACATGAAAAGATGAGGAGAGCCGAGCATCTCAACACTGAGGTGAAACACTCACAGACTTTCAGATTAATATATTTCTTCAGGCTGAAATAACATCACACATTAAACAGAGAACATCTGATTGGACCAACATTTGAATACGTTAGCGAAAGATGAGTTGTCAATATTTTGGGAGCATTTTTCCAGACGACTGTACATTTTAAAAGTGTCAGTCATGGAGGTTTGCCACTACAACTCATTGTGATTATCTCCCTAATCTAACACACCTGCTTCAAATCATCAGCTCATTAGTGGAGAGCTGAAATGGGTCAGAGAAGGGAGCCAAAATGTGTAGAGGAGGCTGAGATCATTTGCATATTTCAGTTGTGTGTGTGTGTGTGTGTGTACCTGGTATTCCCTACATTTTGAGGACCAAATGTCCCCACAAGTATAGCAATACTAGTAAATGTTGACCTTGTAGGGACATTTTTTAGGTCCCCAAGAGGAAACAAGCTCATAAATCATACAGAATTAAGTTTTTTTAAATTCTAAAAACGCTTGTAGTTTTGTGTGAGGGGTAGGGTTAAGTGAAGGTACAGTACAGTATAAAAACCATTACATATATGGAATGTCCCTACAAAAAAATAGAAACCAGTGTGTGTGTGTGTGTGTGTGTGTGCACGCATTACCTCTTAGCGGCAGAGGAGAGTGTCCCTTTCTTTGCTATGGACACTGTGGAACTATCTCTGTGAGATTTGCGGACACTGGAACTGCCATTGGCAATACAGGACATTGAATAGGCCTCACGCAGCGGGGTCTGACCTGCAGGAGACACGTCACACATCGGTTTTAGTCCATCTTATGCCTCAAAACAATGACTGAAATCTCAGCATCGCAACAAATTTACTGCACAGACCTTCTCTTAGGATTGCCACACCCTTTCACTATTAATTGTCCAATTGGATAAGCTTTTTATATATACATATATATACAGTATATATATATATATATATATATATATATGTGTGTGAATGGTCTTTTTTATATTAATAGTAACACTTTACAATAAGGTTTCCTTAGATAACATTAGTTAATGCACTGTTAACTAACATGAACAAACAATGAACAACTGTATTTTTATTAAATAACATTAAGATTTATAAATACTGTAAAAAATATCGTTCTTTGTTAGTTCGTGTTAGGTAATGCATTAACTCATGTTAAATATATGGCTTGTTTCTGCCACAGGATTAAAAAAAAAAATTTATTAAAAAGGTAATTGCAACTTTTTAACTGCAACTTTTTCTCAGAACTGTGAGATAAAAACTCACATTTGTGAGAAGAAAAAGCCAGGATTGCGAGATAAAACGTTGCAAATACCTTTTTTTATTTCATGGCAGAAACAAAGCAAAAAAAAAAAAAAAGACTCAAAGAGACTCAGCATTCAGAGGGAAAAAGTCAAGATTTTATTTATTTAATTCCGTGGCAGAAATGCGCTTCCCTATAAATGGGACCTTTTTGTAAAAATGTTACCAAATTCATGCAGAATATTTTATGAATATTCATAAAAAAGTATTAATATTTTAATGCTGAACATAACTATATAAGATTCTAAATATAAAATATTTAAATATTATATTTAAATATTCAATAAAATATTTAAATGAACTAAAGAAATTTCCAGACTCTTCCGTGACTTAAGATTCTATTGATTTCTATGACTTTTGCATGCTTGGAAATCATCAAATTAAACATGCTCAACAGTCAGGAAATAGAGATAGACAGGATAGACTGGGAGGATCGTGTCTGACTTAAATAGGGCAGCAATCCAGACATGCTAACTGGATTAGTCACCTGATATACTAGTCCATCTAAATTACAGTACCACTGACATAAAAAGATGCAATGACATTCATACTGTAAATTGTAATAAGTGTGGCTTAAGTGTTCAAAACTTGGTGCCACCGTATGCAGAATATTTCAAATAACATGAAATAAAAGACATCATCAAGCATTTTCTACACTGATGGTCATAAGAATTTTTTTCTTGAGCAGCAAATCAGCATATTATAAAGATTTCTGAAGGATCATGTGACACTGAAGACTGGAGTAATGATGCTGAAAATTCAGCTTTGACTCACAGGAATAAATTACATTTTTATTTTTATTTTTTAACATTTGATTTTGAAGTAATTTGTATAGACAGTATTATGTATATATAATGTTCTGATCTGTATTCTTAACATACAGTGGGCTCCAAAAGACCAGACCAGAATGAAAATCTGTGATTTATTTTCCATTTTAACATGGTTTTGAATACATTATTCTAGTGTATATTATACATTGTAATGCAAAAACGAATTAAATTAGAAAGAAAAAGAATAAACAACAGAAGCAGTCTCAGATGTCTGAATCCTAGCTGAGACACACAGACTCGTGTTGAACTAGCATTTGGCCTTCTTGTGGTTGTCCTGAAACACTACAGAACACACTGAGGTGTCCATTTGAGCTTGGTATTCTCACACTAAACGTCAGTGCCATGATTGCAATGGTTTGCATCAGCCATGCTATTTAAAACTCTCTCTGAATGGCCTGCATGTGGAAATGTCTGATTTAGGTTCTTGGCTGCTCACCGGTCGCTTCACTTTGACCCCTTAGCTTTGTGAGAGAGACTGACGCCTGTGTAGCTATTGTGTTACGGCACCCTGCAGCCCTTGCGTGGTGGATTCGATTAACCGTTTCTCTCCAGGGCACGCGTACGCGTGTATATTATCTTAGGAGGCGGCGATGCAGTGTCAGTACCACATGGCTCCGTTTCACGCTCCATTAGCCCACAACAAAAACACACAGTGTGTGGCTGAACTCATCAGACTGCTGAGAGATGTGATGTGTGCGTGCGCTTGAAAAAAAAACCCAACCACTTTTCTCTACAGTGTTCCAGATAAAATCATGTTTTGTTTTTTTTTATGTTTAGAAATATTTAATGCATCAACAAATTTAGCAAGATATTAATGATCTAGTTCTCTTGGTTTGTTCTAAAATTAAAACAGTTCCAGCTCCACACAGAATCTGCAAGTTTTTGTATATTTTCTATGCTGATTTTAGGGGAAAATCTGCAAAATTCTGTGAAATGCATCTAAACACCATACACAGTCTTTATTGCTAGGGCTGCCTACAATGAACAATTATTTTGATGATCAACTGATTCAACAATTATTAGAACTACCAGTATGTTCATGTGCTAACTAACAATAAAGACAAGATAAAAACATATTTAAAAAATACCACAGATAAACTACCTAATATGAATTAATATTAATATTACAATTTATAGTAAATAATAATAATAATAATGATGTTGATTTATGCATTTGGAAGACACTTTTGTCCAACATGACCTACATTGCATTATTATTATTATTATTGTTGTTGTTGTTGTTGTTGTTGTTGGTTTTAAGGTTAGGGTTAGTTAATTATTATTAAATGTTAATAATGTTTAATATAATTAATAATACTAATAATTACAGATAATATATATTACGAATATACAAATACAGTATTAATAGTTTTTGATTTGTATTATTAATGATGTTTGTGTTGTTGCTAATCATTTTTAATAGTAGTAGTAGTAGTAGTAGTAGTAATTACAAATAATATACTACTAATATACAAATATATTATTATTATTATTATTATACCAAGTATCAGGATTATACACAAAAAAAGGAAAAATGCACTTTCAGGCTCTTAGGAACAGAACTCTAGTAAAATGCACAAAAAAAAGAAGAAAAATAAAATAATTTAAAATGATATTCTGACAAAGTCATATTACATTCTTGCACCATTACTGCTAGCTGAAAATTAGGCAAAATATGTAATAAACAAACATGCATGGGGTAGGAGAAGGGTCAAACTTTTCGAATTACAGACGCTGTGATTCTGTGGACTTTGGGCAGTCAAAAAGGAATTCTGTGTTTTTCCATGTTTAACAGTTAATGTCAAACAAACTACACAGTCTTTTATTTTTGACATCATACTGTTATAATTAATGAAACTTAATCTTTCAGACTCGTGTCTCAGTAATAGGTGACTTTACTGGAAGCTCCCGCTGCCGTCACAACAGATCATGCTGTTTGGGTCAAAGAAATATTTAATGTGTGTGTTTAGAGAGTTGGCTTTCATGGACAGAGATTGAGCATTCAAGCATAAGATTATCTTTTCCTGTGTACGGTTCTGTATGGGTGGGTATGTGTGTGTGTGTGTGTGTGTGTCTAGTCAGCACAGCCGCACAGGAAGTCCTCATGTGACCTCACTCCAACAGGAAACCAAGGAATTATCTGCCTTCCATCAGAAGCCTGTCACTAACCGTTCGTCTCCAAAACCACTGGTATTCTCAATCACTTTCATGCTCAAAATACAGGACAGTTTGCTGGATTTACATATATAGTCACTCTTAATCACATTCAGTGCACTTCATATGATAGAAGACACTCTTACTAGCATTAAAAACATCTCGATAACAGCCTGCCTTACTGAACCAGACAGCGTGCGGAAATTGATTCAAATTTATTTCATGATAAGCCAAATAAGTGATCAGAAAAATCGCAAAAACAATAAATCAAAGTATAGCATTCATCTGTAACTGGGAAAAGTGGTTTGTGAAGGAACCAGCGCTTCTCTGTTCCTTAGTGAATTGAGCCCTTTCACAGATATTGTCCAGAGAGCAGCCGGTTAAGGATACACTGAGGTTTGGGAGAGGACTTGAGTGGAAAGACTGAGAGTTTGGGGAAAGATACTCGTGCGTGGGGGATTATGGGAACTGAGGGGGAATAGATAGGGGGATTGAGTGTGATAGGAGCAGTGAGTCAGCATGGTGAGAAAGAAAGAGAAACGGAGGAGTAAAAGTGAGAAAAATGGGTCATAATGGGCGCAGTGAGTAAATATGGGCAGTGGAAAGAAAATGTGCTTCATTCAGGGACTGAGAATGTGAAAAATGAGAACTAACAACCATCATATGACACAATTTATAATGAAAATGAATGAACAGAAAAAAAAAAAAATGTAAGTGCAAGTACTCAAAAATGCATATTTTTGCCCCACGGAAATGCACATTTGAAAGTAAATAAATTCATTTTAAATTATAAATGTACTGGTATTAATAACAATAACATTAAATGTAAATAAACTCCTAATTTATACACTATTGCTCTAAAGATTTTTAATGTTCTTAATGTTCATTAATTTGAGCAATATTGTAACATACTACTACACATTAAAATAACTTATTCATTTTAATATATTCTGAATAAATGTAATTTATTCCTCTGATGGCAGAGCTGAATTTTCAGCACCATTACTCCACTGTTCAATGTCACATTATCTTATTATCACATTTCTTATTATCAATTTTAAATACAGTTGTGCAGATTACAAATGCCTTTACTGTCATTTATGATGTCATTTATTGCATCCTTGCTGAATAAATATTAATATTAATTAATATTAATATTAATTTCGTCAATAAATCTTTCTGATCCCAAACTTTTGAACAGTAGTGTATAAAATTTTTTGACTGTAGGATTAGATTGGAACTGCTTAAGATATATATAAACTGACCTTCATTTTATGACAAGTGTTTTTAGTAAGGATGGAGTCTGCATGCTTATAATAAATAATATCACTATTTTGAAGTTTGCTTTGGCTATTAGCTTCGAGTTTTAATGACTATTACTGTAAAATGTGGAAAACAGTCATGATGAAGAATGAGTAGTGTAGCTGTCCAAGCTGTGTTCTGTGTTGAGTCAGAGGTTGGCCTTCTTTCTGATGGTTTTGTCTGGCAATTGCTGTTCAGGGCTTGAATTTCTATTTTGTTTAGAGGCGTGGTTTCGTTTTGCCTGTTTTCATTGCTCACTGCCTGAGAAAAAAAAACAATTTTCTTCTTGTTTTTTTTTTTTTCATTTGGTAAAATTATTTCTAGACCCAGCCCTGTATGTTTTTAAAGACAGAAATTCAACCTGTCCTGGCAGTCCTGGTGTTCTGTGTCCATCACGTGACCGGCACATTTACACAGAGCAGATCAAATGTCTGAACACACACATTCTCTCTTCCATACACATACTAATACTACCTTTAACTCTTTCCCCGCCAGCATTTTTGAAAAAAGTTGCCAGCGATTTTGATGATTTTCACAAAAATTTGATGGCCTCCAGAATATTTTGCTGTATGAATATTTGAATATGCAATACACCAAAATAAAGATCAGAGCCTCTACTTTTAAACAAAACAAATCTGTTTTATTCTAGCTTAAAGCATTCTTTTTTTATCAACACTTGAATATAGGTAGGTTTCCGCATATGCGAGTGATTTACTCGCAATGTAGAGGGTTGTAAAACTAAACAATATGTATAATACAAAATAAAATATTTACACAAATGTATAATATATCAATAATACTGTCTATTCAAAGTATGCAATTTTAGTAGTCAAAAACCTGAAAACTGTGAATTTCAGGCCTGGGAAAGTCTGAGTAAAATCTTCTAAAGTCATGGGAATTTTTATAATGAATATTAATCTTTCTAGGTTTGTTCTGCTGTATAATATTTAATTGTGATGAAACTGCTCTTTGTTATTGCTTGTGTTGAGTAAAACATTCATTAGTCTGTCCAGTGGTCTAATTGGAGACATATATTGCATATTGCACACTAATACGTATAGTTATTCAAGTTTATTTTTTCCATCATCTGACATACAAATGGAAATCTAAGTCAGCAGTCTTTGTAAAATAGGAAGAATGACTTGTGAATGGGAGTGAATGGAGCATGAGGTCTAGTGTGACCACAACTTTGGTCCCGTCATGGATGGGCGGGAGGTGTCACTGAAATATACTGCTAGTGCTCTTCATCTCTTCTGTCTTCATATGTACAATAATTAATTCGCTTCATTCATCCACTCTCACCTCCCTCATACATTTACAAGCCCTTTTTAGTTTTAGGTTTTTTGTTGTTGTTGTTTTTGTTTTGTTTTTTTAAAAAGAAAGATCGTATAAATGTAAACTTCTGAATACAACTGTCTGTGTTTGCAGCTTTAATTTGAAAGAGAACATGTGAAGACGTGTGCTATATAATATGCTGATTTGCTGATGCGAATAACGTTTTAACACAAAGCATACAACCGAATACACAGAATTGTACTCATTTGGTAGCACGTGCAAACACAGGCACTCGACACTTGCACACGAGAACGTTTCATCCATGACCAGTATCTGTGCAATTTCTCTCCAGAAGTTATGACCAATATAAACGCTTTTATATTTGTTTAAACTAGAGTTGCATGTACCTCTTAAAGGGGTCATATGATGCGATTTGAAGTTTTCCTTTCTCTTTGGAGAGTTACAAGCTGATTGTGCATAGATAAGATCCCTGAAGTTGCAAAGACTAAAGTCTCAAAACCAAAGAGATATTCTTTATCAAAGTTAAGATTCTGCCACGCCCCCCTAAAACGGCTCGTTCTAACACGCCCCCACATATCTACCTCACTATGTGGAAATATTAGCATAATGCCGCCCAAATGTGCACGAAAAGAAAGAAGGCGTGGTTTCAGTAGCGTTTGAGAGAGGCGGGGCATAGAGGGCCTACAATAATGTACAGTATTTGAAAAATAATGTGTTTTTTGAACATTAAAGCATGTCAACATATTCTGTTACACCAAATACACAAAATAATGATTAAAAAAGCATCATATGACCCCTTTAACACCTGCACAGAAGCACTCACTATCGTGGCATCTATTGTTGTTTCATCTACAATAAAGCTGCACACATACAGTACATGTGTACTATGATAATGATGAAATTTGAAGAAGCTTGAGGAGTATAGATGACACGCATGTAGAGGTGAAGTGTGTTATTTATGCACTACTAGTAGCAGGGCCATCGCTAGTGGGGAGAAAGGTGGTGACAATTATAGGGGCCCACAGCTGTCGGGGGCCCCCGGCGATTTCAACCGACTGGCCAAAAGACGCTCAGGACAGTTGACAGGCCACTGCTGCACGTTGTCACGAAAGACCATCATTTGCATGTGTTTTTAAGCCTTGTCAATTTAAATATTCAAGTCAATTTGGTGTGCTCTCTGTGTGCACAACGAACACAGTGCGTGAACACCGAATTGAGTTCTCTTTCACGTCTTCTTGTGCATGAATGAACAAATACACCTTGCCAATTTAAACATTCAAGCACAAAAAGATGCGAAAGAGCTTAATTTAGCACCTGTGCGCTGCATTCACAGTGCGCACACAGGGAGACGCGCATTATATTGGATCCATGCATTGTGTCTTAAAGTGACCACGACTAATTTACTAGCTGCTGTCGGTGTCGTTAATGTTAAAAAAAAGAGAGAAAATCACTCACTGCTCTTGGCTGGAAGAGCAAGAACAAGAATTGATCTGTATTTAATTTATACAGTGAAGACTATGGAATGCCATTTTACATTTGATTATTCAGTTTCTGTACCTAAACACCTACAAACTTGAAAAAAAAAAAAACTTGTTTAATTTGTATCTTTGTTCTGTTTACTTATTTGTGCTATTTACACGATTTCAAACAGGGCCCACGGGTACAGCCTGCGCCGGAGCCCCGCAAATCCCAGCTACGACCCTGACTAGCAGCACACCAAATGGAATTACAAAAAATAAGTTCAAAATGGCATACTAGCATACTTCTCTTAAGAATTTATGCAGTAAATGCACTGAGCAAATACAGCTGGATAAAATAAAAACTGTGCTTGTCTTCATTTGAAAACTAAATGATTATTTTAAAGGAGGGTGATTATTTTCTATACCCACTGTCTTAGTATACATAGTACATCTATACACTTTTCTATAAATTATTATTTGTAAATTGCTAAATTTACAGGTTGCTTTGTAAAGATTTATTTTTGCTTTTTTTTTTTCAGAATTATTCTGGCAAACAGCTGCCAGTTTTTCTTTTTCTGTTAAAACAACATGTACACAGTATGAATTTTTTTCTTATTCAAAGAATACCTGAATGGCCTGCTATATTTGCCATTACATGCAATATACAGCAGGGAACACTGCATAAGATATTGCATCCCACAGTTCAATGCAAAGCACTTGACTTAACATATATGTATAGGATGTATTCTGTATTTTAAACACTCCTTTTATATAAAAATGTATATTTTACACAAATTTTGGTAGCACTTTATTTTACAGTCCTGTTTCTCATGCACATGTACTTATTATAGTAATTACAATAACTAGGTAATAACTAGGTACTAACCCTGAACCTCTCCCTAAACCTAACCCTACCCTATGTAGTTACCTAATATTACCAGTACTTTCTTAGATAAGTACACCGTAAGTACATGTAAGTACACATACTGTAAAATAAAGTGCAACCCAAAATTTTATCAAATAATGCAAAAATAATGCACTTATTTACAATATGATAACTGGGCATCAACGTGATGAGGTCATGGGACAACTATGTACCATAATACTTTCTAAAACATTTATGGAACAAGAAACATTTACGGTTTCTCTTGATATTTCTAAAAACCAGTGGTTGGTAGCAGATGAATAGGTAATCCGCCCAAAACGTCATCGGCTGAGTAAGCTGTCAACATGTTGGGCCTCTCAAACAAACAGAGCAATGTTTTGTCAGCACCACACTGTTTACACTCGTCATAAATCATCCTTAGTCTTTACATATTAAACTAGGAAATGAGATAGTATTTTAACATCAAAAAACCTAAAGCTGCATAAAGTATACATAAGTTGTATACGTGTGTGCGTGAGAGCGAGAGAAACGGGGCGGGAGGCAGCCAGTGTGTTTTATACGGTGTGTTAAACGGAGAACAAAGTGAAGTCAGTTTTAATGGTCAAACATTAAAATGCCTTCCCTCAAGCAGCCCCCAAGATCACACACTCACTCACACTCTCTCTCTCTCTCTCACACACACACACACACACACACAGCTGCTATTCAAATGGAAACGTTCAGTGCCGTGGGTCAAGGCTGGATTGAATCTTAACAGATCCCGGTCTGGCTGCACTCCTACACTTCCTCCATGTAAACAGTGCAAGGATCACTGGAGGCAAAGACACACACACACACACACACACACAGTGCTAGGTTACCTTTGCTGCTTTGCTGTTTTTTGGCAGCAGCGGCGGCGTCCTCCGACTGAGCCAGACGTCTGAGCACATCTGCCAGCGCGGCCTTCATCACCGTCAGCTCATCTTCCTGCTGCTGCACCCGCAGCTCCAGAGATGACAGGCGGTCCTGCACATCTGACGTGCTCGCTGCAGAAATACTGTCATCTGCCAGAGAAAGAAAGAGTAAGATGCCTTTCTCATCATATAGTACAGATGCACAATATAGAAGTTGTCAGATATAATTGTTCTTCTATGGACAACAATATAAATGTCAATATAAATTATTAAAATTATATATATATATATATATATATCAATATTACATACACTACAGTTTGGGGTCAGAAATATTTTTATTTTTTATTATTATTAATTTATATATTATTATTTATTATTAATCATTATTATTTTATTCAGTAAGGGCACATTAACTATATCAAAGAATTACAGTACAGACATTTCTGTTACTAAATATCTATTTCAAAAGCATGGACAAAGTTTAAAAAAACAATTTGTTTTTTCTGTGCCAAAAATCTTACTTCCGGGTTCGTACAAGTTTCGGAGAGTTTTTTACGATAACTTTGTTCAGCTTCCTAAGGAACCCAGCATTATGTAAACAGTGGATGCAGTTTGTTTTTCCGGGTCAGCAACAGAGTTTCACAAGTGTGTTTGTTGACGAACGTTTTATAAACAAGGCTCAGTTCGACACTGTATTTGCACATCGTTTGATACTGAAAGATGGAGCAGTCTCCGCTATAAAAATCCCGGTTCAGAACTGCAGACGGTACGTGAAACTACATCAAATGTCTGTGTTTTTTTGCCAATCGGAGCTCAAGTGCTCGTCAATCGTTAGCTCCGCCCATGGCGCCTCCTGGAGCTCGGCTGTTTACGGAGAGAATCGTATAGCTGTATCTTTCTTTTATAAATATGATAAAACTAAAGACTTTTTGGAGATATGAAGGATGCAGTACTACTCTATAGGTACTCAAGATTAACATGAGATTGGCAGAAACTGTGTGTGTTTTGTCCCCTTAAAAGTTACAAAAGTTATTGCGTCAAAATCAGTGAATGGTTTTATTTTTCTTTTGTTCTTAGATTAACATAATTGGCACAAACAGCAGCAGGTATACAGGCTGCTGTCACTTTAAGACCTAATGCAAGGCTCCAATATACTGGTACACGCTTTTTTTTTTTTCTCAACTGTTTATGTTCACTTAAGAAAAAAACAACAACTGTATTTACAACTGAGGACATTTTGAGCTAATTGTGTGTGTATTTGTTAAATGCAAGAAGATGTGAAAGAGAACAGAATTCAGAATTTTCACACTATACAAGAGACAGCTTTTTGCATGCATGCTTTGGATGTGTGCGCAGCACAGATAACAGAAAGTCAGTACCAAATTGAGTTCACCTTCATGTCGTCTTTCACTTGAATTGTTTAAAATCACATTAAAATGCACACACAAATCAATAAGCAGAATCGAAATGTGTCTCATTGAATCCACGGTTCTTTGAAATTTGGAACCAATTCTAAAACCAAACCCGTTCTCGATACCCAAACCTATTTACTCACCCTCATGTTTTTCAAACCTTTCTTCTGTGGAATATTTTGAAGAATCTTGGTAACCAAACAGTTTTGACTGTGTACGGACAAAAAAAAAATAGACATTTCTCAAAGTATCTTATCTGATGTTTCACAGAAGAAATAAAGTTATTTAGAACAACAAAAGGGGAGATTTTTCATTTTTGGCTGAACTTTCACTCTAAGTGCATTTCTTTGCAGCAGAAGTTTAGCAGTGTTACTGGTGCTGCAGCACATTAGAGGACATTAGTGTTGGGTTCTGGATGGGGGGCATTGGATGGTGCTGCAGGACTGCAGTCAGCTGCCAGGCGTTACTGTGGTTGGGATTTTGATTGCTGGACTGGTTCCCTGATCGAAGGGGCCCTGCATTCTGAGCTGCGGTTAGCTAGCTTAAGGGGCATAAAATACCATATAACAACTCAAACTCTCACACACCAACACATCTCCGATCCAAGCTTGAAACCAAACCATAGGACATTTTTACACTACTAATAAATCACTGAAAGTACTCACACTCTCACCCACACAGAATTCACAAACAAAACACATGGGCACAAATACGAGAAGCTTATTACCACACCGCACGTCCAACTCTTGAAAAACCGGCAAATTCCCCACATAGCGCTAATGATAAGGGTGCCTGCAGTCTTAAGGTCACTGCAGAGCTCCGTGTGACGATGGAGAGGAGGATCAGGAATGCCCTGGCACACACTCACACAGACCGACCCACAACCTCCTAACAGGAAGTCAGTGGGTAAATACCCAAACAAAACACGTCAAACAAGCCAACAAAGGGACCCTCTGTGCACTCTAACCCAGAGTCCATTATTAGACATGAAGCCAAGTACATTAACTAGATGCTAGGCCAACAGCTGAGCTAACCCGCTTTACAGTTAGCTGTTAGCACAAAGATCAATCGGTCCAATCTGGCAACTGCAGCCATGGTGAGAGTAACGATTCAACCGCAATCAAACTCCTGAAGCCCTAAGCCATTGCCTGCCGTGAGTCAGAGATGCCAAGCGAGTGCAAAACTACTGATCGATATTTAGCCTAGTCGCATATCAAACCTCTCATTCCTGCCTCAGTGAATCGCAAATACTACCATTAAAAATGAATCATCTTCATAGTTGTGCCGTTTCTTTTCTTTATTTCCTTTTTAAAGTCTTGACATCTGAAGGCCAGATTATGAATAATCATGTGAATATTTGATGCTATGAAAAGCATGAAAAGCCAGTGGTAAAACTGAATTTATTGTAGAAAATAGAAAATTATGTTTGTACATTTTAGATTGATAATGGCAGCAGTAATTCATTAAATGATATATGCCATTTGGGGTTAGCAATAATTTTGTGGTTATGTTCATAACAATACCTGCATTTACATATCATTTCATGATGTTAAATCAAAGAAGATAGCATGTGCAAATAATCAATGTAATCAGCAAGTAGGGTTGGGCCGATAGACGATGCCATCGTCCATCGCCGATGGCTGGTAGACCATCGTGACCCCCCCCATTCCCCGCCCGCATCGCAATACCGTGTTCGGAAAGAAAATGACGTGTAGGCGGAACCCCTAAAGGGAATAAATACGAGATGGGAGGAAAATATATATTTCAATATTTTTCCTTGCAATTATATAATTGGGTAATTATACTACATATTTCGGCGTCAGGGAGCCGCTATTATACCTGGCATTGAAACTGGCATCGTGCTTTTGAATGCACGATCGCTTTTAGTTTCACTTTCGAGATTCGCAATCGCACGTACTCCGTTTATACTATGGAGCGGCAGTACTTGTCACACATTTTACAAGATTATATGTTTGTCAGTGGTACTGAGGATCTGTAAATCATTCGCCATCGTCCTCAGTCATCTCTCAGTATTAAAGTAGCCCAATTCCGTGGGAAAACCGTGGACTTGTCAACACTAACTGGACGCGACAACACTGTTCATTTAAATCATTTGAAATTTGTGTCAGCACGTCATAAATAGAACGCAGCAGCAGTTTACTTTCGAGGATTTGTCGTGTTGTGCCGCATCCAGTGTAGACAGCATCACTGATTATAATAAGTTCTATAGACTGATCTATATATAATAAATCTCTGTTATAGATCAGTGGTTCTATAGTATTTTGTTGCGCCACGCCGCTCGCGTCCGGTGTAGACACGGTGTTAGGAATCGTGTTTTCCCTTATAAGGATTCACGCTTTGGGCACACCCCTAACTCTTCCCCCACACCCCTCCACCCACTCGCCCCCGCCGATGTCATCGTCCATCGCGATGTTTCACTGTAGACATCATCCTATGCCAATTATGTACACATCGCCCAACCCTATCAGCAAGCAGAATTATTAGTGAATTCCTCTCTCCATAGTAATCACTAAAGCTTTCTATAAGTTGGGCGGTTTTTGAGGCAAAGTAGCCAAACAGAGTTTCTAGTCTGAAGAAATCTTCTGTGGAAGAACATACCTGAGGCACTAATATGGAGTTGCTCTTTCAGAAGATTGGCAATGATATTGCTAATCTCATGCTACAACTGAGAATTAACCATTTTAAACCAGTTAAGTAAAGTTTGTCCTATTCTCACAAAAGGTTTGCATTCCCCCGAAAAATGACTCTAAAACTGATGATGGAAATAACATACTTTGTAAGTAAAATCTGTATGTCAATGCTTTTGCAAGCATACAAAACTTGTCTTGGGTAAAAGCAGAGCTTTGGAGAGAGAGAACGCAAAAGTTGAACTAATGCAAAGTTTACATGGGGGAACAAGTTTTGCTGAATTTTTGCTTGCTAAATCCAGTAATTTCTATTAGGGCTGGACAATAATTCAATATCAATATGTATCGCGATATAATTTTTTTCAATAACGGTGATATGATTTTTCTATAGAAATCCATGCGATTGGGGATTTTGTGGAGGGTGAAAGATTTCCCTACACAGATTTTGCAACAGGACTAACAGAAAGCTGCTTGAATGTGTCTTCCATATGAGCTGTGCTTCATACAACAATACACTATTGACAATAAAAAACAGCTTTTTTTTGCCTGCAAAATGTGAAGCCCATTATCTTTAAATGAATAAAACCAGTTGTGAGCCACTGAACTAAGGAACCTGAACATAAGTAAACATTCCCAAGTTACCACAAATACACCATTGGGGGTGTACATATCCACCAACTACAAGTCCACTCACGCTAACGTTGTTCAACTGCTTTATCTTAGTCAAAAATTGACCAAGAAACTAAAAGCAAACATCTCAAGGTTGCAGGAAGTAGTCAATAAAATCCAAAGTCTGGAGGGCTGCGCAACGACGCAATATTTCATTTGCTTTCTCTGCCTGCGGTTTCCTCCCTGTCTGCAGGTCCTTCCTCTCAAACCATCTTATCTCAGCAGCCCACGGAAATATGGAGAGGGCAAACGTTTATAATACAATGCATTTCTTTTAGAGGAAATCGCTTTGGGAGGTTGTTTGATACTGGCAGTGCATACGGAAAAAACGAGGGCAGAGGGAGCGTGCTAAATAGAAAGAGAAAGGGAGGGTTGGAAGGTGACGCAGTATCCCCAGGTAACCTCCACCAAATATATCAGCGCTGTGACGTTTCTCCAGAATGGGGTACCCCTAAATGGAGTATAAACGCGCCCTTTTCCACACTTCTACCCATGATTCCTTGCGGGCTAAGAGGAAGGAAGGCCTACGCACATGTCATATTTCACAATAGCTCGTCACATTCCTTAGTTTTCACCCCCACCCCTTCAGCACGTACACCTAAATGCACACACACCTCCAACCTAACACACATCACCTCAGAATGCAACCGATATTATCTCGCATACAAGATGTGCAAACCTCGGACAACAGCCCAACATACGCTCATTCGCACAACTCCAGTGAGATTCTAGACTCGGTGCGGGACAATCCCATGTCACGTGGCCAGACTGCATGCTCGTAAGACTTGTTTTTGGCATGCTTCGTTTAATACTCATATCACTACTAGACTGGCCTTTAGACACCCTGATCTCTAGATATCGCTATCAGCACTGTATCAGCAAATAATTAGGCAGAACCACGTCACAATGATGGTATCAGATGGTAATACCATATTCATAATACCATGGTACTCCAAAGTCCTTCAAAGAAAGCTACAGAATTAGCATCTAAGGAATGGATGTCCAAAAACACGTACTGTGGCCAAAAACCTAATGGTAATACCATGGTAGCTTTTTTGGTGATATCCTCATGGTATATGTATATTTTAAAGTCATTTATATCTGTGCAGACGTCAAGGGAAATATAAGAGGAACAGCGAGTAGTTCCTATTCACATGCTCACAAGGTTTAGATATCAATTGCACAATTTCAAACTACCCTCTGACCGCTACATAAACTTAAACACACTAACACATCCTACACAAACACACACACACAGCAGACAGCAGTTGTCCATCTGTGAAAATTGTCTGAGCTGGAATCTCGCCTAACATACATCAACTCCAGCACCAAATACAAGCAGACGGGTTGTAATAGAACCTGCATGTGTGTGTATGTGTGTGTGTAGCTACCGAACCATATTTTGAGGACAAATTTGTACTCTGAAGTGAGCTGAATCCTCATTTTGGGAACGTCCTCATTTGTAAAAAAATAGTACAAATATAATGTAAATAATGTTTGTTTGTTTGTTTAATCGTGAAATAATCAATGCAATCCATTTAATTTATATTTATACAGTTGCATGCCCAGTCTATTATCTGCTATTTGTATTGAATTTAAAACTTTGACTTCTATTTTAATAATTTTATTGCTATTTAAAACTTTGACTTTTCATAACTTTTTGAAGTATTAAAATAAGCAATCAGTAATCATCCGGTTATTGTAAGTCATCACAATATGCATATGATGATTTGTACATTTGCGATATTTCAAAAATGTCAATATCGCACAGCTATATGAGCTGTATATAAAACCATAAAAGTAGGGCTGCACGATACTGGAAAAAATTCACATTGCAAGATTTTATTTTTCTGCGATATATATTGCGATATGAAAAAAAAAAAA